GAATAATGGATCTGGACCTCGCCAACTTCGTCGCCGCAGTTCAATACCAACGTTGTAGATGATGCCGGCGAGAGACAATAACGGATGGAAACAGCGCTGTGGTCTGCACGACAAGTGAAGACAGGCCGTTTGAGTATCTAAGTGAGTATCATATTGTTGTGCAAACTATCACCATGAGATACGGTGCACAGCTCTACAGTATTCTAATTGCACCTTATATCTATCAAACTGCCTCCACCATCCAAATCACTTTGCAGAAAATTCTACAAACTGAATGAGTGGTTTCCGTTTCTCAGGATTTATTTTTTGTTAAGAAGCGAAGGCGCAGACAAACATAAAAAGGTCACTGGTAACCTCTTGCATATTCTACTTACCTTCTTAATAACTTTTTGTGTTTTGTTTGTTTATTTTCTTTACGGATTTTGTTATCTGTCAAGAGATGCGTATCGTTCAAAATCGCTTCTTCCGCTCTTCCAAAGCGGTCTTTATTTTCCCGACTATTCGTTTAGTTTTGACTTTTGAGTAAAGAAATGGAATGTTGAACTGACAAGAAACAGAATTTTCAACATTTCATCTCATAATTTTTCTTGATCCTCCACAAAACAAATATGAAGCAATTATAGTTATAGTTATGGTGGTTATAAATAGACAGTAGCGCCAAAAGTGTTTCCGTCGAGTTGCCACTCATTCTCCCAGAAACTGGAAATATTCGATAAATTGGAAAAAGAAAGTAAAAATTTTGTAGAGCAGGAGGGAATCTCGAAGCTGGACAGATTTGCTCAGCGACGAAATAAACAAACTAAGGACACCACAGAAAATTAAATCCAAAATATTTCAAATAGAATTTTTTGTTTTCAAAACGATAAGTTGAAACTTTGCACATATGCAGATGAGGACCCGTGGGTAACATTGGGTACGTTCTATGGTATTAATCATTCAATAGCATTTATTCACAATATTTGCTGGTAGGTTCATATCTTCTAGAAGGAGCTTCAAAAACATTGATTACTATCGAATCACTTTACGCAATGCACCTTGCCTTAATTAAACATTGAAATCTTTTGCTAGGTCAAACTTTGATATCTCCTGATCATGAATTTTTTGAATCATTCCGGGTGGCGGATTTATGCGAAAACTCAAACAAACTCACTCTCTTCACACTAGTATTACTTTCTTTAACTTTTAAAGCCTATGAAAAAATTCTAAAGGTCATAACCAAACATTTCAGCAGAAAATTTGATTTTTAAATATGTCCTACAATTTTACTCAACATTTTTTAGTTCTAAAAGTTTTGCAGAAAGATACCTTGTACAAGTGCTGCAGTTAAATATTTCAATAAGAAATTTCCTAATTCCAAGTTTTAAACTAAATCAATATTTACAGTTCAAATCAAATTCTTAAAAAAGTTTCCATCGTGTTTCGATACAGGATCAATAACATAGTGGTCTTAATTCTAAGGCAGATGACGAGACGACATGAGAATTAGATTGAAAGCACGGTAAACCTCGCAGAAGTTAGGCGCAGTTATGCACACTATGGGTCAGTTGGAGCTCGTTCATAAAGTCATACAAAATCATTCCCCACTAGAACCCCTTTCCTCTCAGTATTTCCTTTAGTTTTTTATATTTTCGATTTTGCTTGCCTGGTCGATTTCCCGGCACCAAAGGATTAGGCAAGACTACCATCAAGGTATCCATTCCGTCTTGGAGGAGTTCAAAAATCTAAATTTCGTTGATCTCTGGAGAAGTTAGATTTCAACCGAGTTCACTAGACTGCTCTGGAGGCTTTTGCTTTGAAAACTTTTCGAGAAAGCAAATTACAACCAATAACCGCTGAGGAGCTTTTCTCCCTCGTTACGAAACAATTAGGAAGGAATTTCGAGAAGTAAATGAGCCATTGATAAGTCGTACAAAGATGTATTAAAGAATGGTTTGAGGATGTGCTAAATGGAAGTTCTTCCCATATCAAAAAAAAAATTTGTCAAAAAGGTGTGACTTGATTCTTCAACATGACGTGCTGTGAGGTACAAAAAGAAGCAGAATCTTAGGAGCTCCTATAGAAATCTCTACATTTGACTTCTAGATAAGTTGTGAGCTTGTGTTTGTGTCGATGAAGCCATACTCATTTATCTGCAATGATTCTCCAATTCTCGCAGTTAAGTCCAGGGTTATGTAAACGATAATTACTTTACAAACTATTGCACACAAGCAGAACTATCCTAAGTTACTTTTGTTTCTGAGAAAAGGAACAGAATAATATAGTCAAGTTTGCGATGGACGGATCGCGCTTACTAACTCAGTAAATTTATTTCAAGCGCCAAACGATGAATTATAAGAGACTAATCTTATAGCTACCTGATAAATCTTGTTTCTTTTAGTTCTAAAGACTGAACAAGTGAGTTGAGAAAGGAGTCGGATTGGTTCCAAAAAATTGAGGCGAAA